ATAATACAATCTATGATTATAAATAACTAGTTTCTAAAAGCTAAAATGTGCCCTTATTATTTTAATGGTGTCAGGAGCGTTTCCCTCTCAAAATGGAAAGTTTTAAACCACTAGAGACGATGAAATTTGATGAAAATCGCTCTTCAAATTGGCAAAGATGACTGAAATCGTTCGAAATATATGAAGTAGCTAGTGGATTACATAAAATAAAGAAGAGAAGGTATGAGTTAGTACTTTTCTTCATGTAATAAGAATTTGCGGTCTTGAAATATATATTTCCTATAGAAGATGGTAAAGAAATTAAATTAAAAGCAATTAAGAACAAATTTACCGAATATTGTATTCCTAAGAAAAATATTACATATGAAAGGCATTTATTCTTTATTAGAAATCAAATTGCTTCAGAAACCATAGATGAGTATGTAACTGACCTTAGAAATAAAGCTAGAACATGCGAGTTTGCACAATTAACGGATAGTGTAATAAATGATAAAACTCTTTCTGGTATTAAAGATGATATAGTGAGAGCAAAATTGTTACATGAAAAGAATTAACATTAGAAAAAGCTCTTGCTATATGCAGATCTCTTGAAATAAGTGCACATCAAATGAAAATTATAAAAGATGAGGAAACTATTGTAAACTTAGTTAGAAAGAAACTAAGTAACATAATAAGAATACCTACACAGTGGTAATTACTGAGAAACAAGAGACAAAAGATTGTTTTATATGTGGAACATCTCATTAGTATCGAAAGTGCCCAGCGTATGAAAAAATCTGTCTTAAGTGTAAAATGGCAAAGCATTTCGCGAATTAGTGTAAAAGCTATAAAATAAAAAATGAAGCAGTCAGCAGTAAATGAAAAAGAGAAACAAATTAAATTAATAAATCATGACTCTGAGGAAGAGTTAGAATTTTATTTAGGTACATTAAACCTTAATTCAGATAGCAAAGAAGAGAAATGGACTGTTGACGTTAATATAAATAAAAGTAAACTAAATTTGCAGTTAAATACTGGAGCAATGTGCAATGTTATTTCTAAAAGCAAGGTGAAATTGTTAAATGTTCCAATACAGAAGTCTGAAATTAAAAAATTAGTTACATTCTCTGGGAATAAAATGGATACTATACGAAAAGTAGTATTTAACTGCCAATACGGAGAAAATAATTATGTTGTAGAATTCCAAGTTATTGACAAAGAAATACCTTCTATATTAGGATTAAAATAATGTCTGCAACTGGGTTTGATTCAAAAAGTAATGTCTGTTTATACTGAATACTTAACTGGAGGAATGTAAAGAAGTATTTGAAGGCTTTAGGTTGTTTTAATGGAGAATATAAAATCCAGTTAAAGCAAGATGCAACACCAGTAATTCACCCTCCAAGAAAAATACCCATAGCTATGTGAGATAAAGTGAAGAAAGAATTGCAAAGAATGGAAAATTTAAATGTTATTGAGAAAGTAAGAGAACCAACTGAATGGGTAAATTGAATGGTCACAGTTGTCAAACCTAACAAAATAAGAATATGTTTAGATCCTATAGATTTAAATAAAGCTGTAAAACCAGAACATTATCCTATGTTAACCATAGACGAAGCTGTCACTAGAATGCCCAAACGCAAAAATATTTTCTGTTTTAGATGCTAATAGTGCTTTTTGGAAAATTCAACTTGACGAAAAAAGTAGTGATTTGTGTACATTTAATACACCTTTTGGCAGATACAAATTTTAAAGGTTACCTTTTGGGATATGTTCAGGTCCAGAAGTTTGCCAAAGAAAATTAAACCAAATAATAGTAGGTCTAGAAGGCGTTGAATGCATAATAGATGATATCTAAATATTGGGGATCTAATGAAAAGGAAATGAGCTACGACTTAGAAAAAGACTCCAGAGAGCACGAGAAAATAATATGAAGTTCAATAAGGCTAAATGTAAAGTAAAAGTTAATCGTGTGAATTATGTAGGGTATGAGTTAAGTGAAAATGGATTAAAACCTGATTTTTTTTTAAAGTGGAACCAATTGTTAAAATGCCAGAATTTACAGATGTGCCTTCTCTACAAAGATTTTTGGAATGATTAATTATTTAGCCAAATTTATTCCTAACTTAACTACTCTTAGGAAACCATTAAGACAGTTACTTGAGAAAAATGTTCTCTTGCACTGGACTGAAAAACATCAAAAGCTTTTGAAACACTTAAAGAATTGGTTGTAAAAGCACCCGTATTAAAATTCTATGATGTTTAATAAGGATGTAACTCTTTCAGTAGGTGCAAGTTCTGAAGGATTAGGTGCTGTTTTACTACTACAAGAAACCAACCAATTGCTTATGCTTCCAGAGCTCTAACAAAAAGTCAGAAAAATTATGCTCAGATAGAAAAAGAGCTTTTAGCTATTACTTTTGGATGTTCTAAATTTCATCAATATATATATGGCAAACGTATTACAGTTGAAACTGATCATCGACCATTAGAAAGCATAACTAAGAAACCTCTTTTTAAAGCACCACAGCGATTGCAAAGAATGCTGTTAAATTTACAAAAATATGATCTAGATGTACGATACAAAAAGGGGAAAGAGACTTATTAATAGCAGACACTTTGAGTAGAGCAATTTGAATACAACAGAAGATAATGATGAAGATACAGAAATTTGTACACTGATTCCAGCATCTGATGACAAAATTTATGAATTGAAGAAAGAAAGTGAATGTGATGCTACACTACAGTGCTTAAAGAAATATATTCTGAGAGGCTGGCCAGAAAGGAAACATCAGGTAGAACCTCAAGTCAAAGTATTTTGGGACTACAGAGATGAGTTGACAATGGAAAATGACTTATTTTTCAAAGGAGGAAGGGTAATTATTCCTTTATCTATGCAAAGGGAAATGTTAAATTTAATTCATGAGGGTCATTTTGGTATAGAAAAATGTAAGAAAAGAGCTAGAGAGATGTTTTGTTTTGGCCACTTATGAACAAGCAGATAGAAGATAAAATTTCAAAATGTTCTATATGTAATGAATACCAGAACAAAAAACATAAGAGAGCCTATGATACCACATGAAATTCCCAATTTACCTTGGTATAAAGTTGCGACAGATTTATTTGAGATTAACAAAGATGTATATTTATTAATTGTAGATTACTATTCCAACTTTTTTGAAATCTCCAAACTACCAGGATACTCGAAGTCAGACAGTGATCAGTTTACATGAAATCTCATTTTGCAAGATACGGTATAACCATTGATAGTGATATCTGATAATGGACCTCAGTTTGCAAGTAAAGAATTTTCAGAATTTGCAAAGAATACCAATTTAAACATATAACAAGCAGTCCATACCATCCACAGTCGAACGGATTAGCAGAGCGTTCAGTACAAACGGCGAAGAAATTGTTAAAGAAAGCTCAAGCAGATCATGCTGATCCTTATTTAGCTTTGTTAGCTCATAGGAACACTCCAACAAATGAGATGCTAGGATCACCAGCTCAACGACTTATGAGTAGAACAAGAACAATTCTTCCTACATCTGAAGAATTACTTAAACCTCAAGTTGTGAGAAATGTAAAAGAAAAAATCAACCAAGAAAGAACTAAACAGAAGTCATATTATGATCGTCATACAAAAACATTACCATTACTAAATAAAGGAGATTGTGTTCGGGTATATAAAGATAATCGCTGGAAACCAGCAGTTGTAGAAGAAGTGCATAAGACGCCTAGATCATATATACTTAGATCAGGTGGATCAGTATTGAAAAGAAATAGAAAAGATATTAGAGAAAACAGTTCAGCTGTTGATGAGAATATCAGAGGAACAGAACAAGGAGTTAATACACAGAAAACAGATGTAAAAGGATATGATTCCAGATATTCTCAAGGGCAAAGTTTAGAAGATCAACTACCAAACTCTGCTAACTCAGAAACAAGGAACGGTGAGCTAAGAACTAGAAGTGGGAGACTGATTAGAAAGCCGGCCAGGTATTTGGACTGATTTTAGACTGTTAAAACTTTTGAACTCTTTAAAAAAACGGAAGATGTAATATTTAATAATTTGTAAATGGTAACATTTAATATTTAGTAACTTGTAATTGGCAACACTTTGGATACAGATTTGAAAAATAGAACTATGCTGGTATTTCAGTTCTCTGTGATTATACATTCTAAGATTGTAAATAAATAGTTTCTAAAAGCTAAAAGTGTACCCTCATAATTTTATAGCCTGGAATCCATCTTTGAAGTCATTTTTAAGCCTTAAATTGATATTAGCTTTCTATGAAAATACCTTGGCAGCTTCACAAGGGCTCATTCATATTAAAATTTGAGTGTATTTCACAGGATAAAAATTTGTTATTTAAATTTAGTGTGGGTGCAATATATTTATCAAAACTATTCAGAATGAACTTATATACACATTAAAAATTCTGAACATGCAAAAACTAAAAAAAAAAAATCTTCCAGTAGATCTTTTGTTTAAATATATTACATGATAGTTTTTGCAGCCAAAGATTATGTAAATAATTTATATTTAAATCAGATTCCTTTCAGATATACAATAAAACAATACAAGTTGTCACATTTATTACAAAATGTTCGTAATTTTAAATTAAATTAATTATTCATTCATTTGAATAATATATAGAGAAAACTAATTTTTTAATTAATTTCATTTATTTCATTAATTTTTTTCTAATACTATGATGAAATTAAGGCACAAAACACTAATTAATAGAATGAATTTAAAATTGAAATCTCATATGTTTCTCAGTGCTTTAAAATAAACACAAGAGTATATTGGAAAGCTATACATGTTAAAATGTTAATATTTGGTATGTATTTAGTTAGCATCTGTAGTATTTTCAGAAAAATTTTCTCTGCTTCTGAAATTCATATTGCACAAGCATGGTTCAATATATGCGCAGAAATTTACTGAGCGTAAGGGGCGTATCTTTGATGTGACATCATCTTACACGTATTCGAAGGTCACGTGACCTCCCTGTGCGTTTGGGGATTTAGCGCTGACCTCTGTCTACTTTGTCTGTCTGTCTGTGACGTAGCAGTGACTGGTTGCCTTGGTAACGGAGCTCGGCTTTCACCACTTATGCCCTGAGTTCTTGACCGTTCAAAATCATTTGAATTGGAATTGTTGAATATCTTATTTTAATTAAGTGGTACGATTCGATAATAACGACATGGAAAGTGTACGAAATGTATTATCTTCTGTGGAACAGTTTTTGAAAGAGGTTCTTGACAATTACATGGCTTTGTGTTCACATAATTTGTGATGTTGTTTTTATTCCTTTTAATTCATAATTTTTTTTTATAATTCTTTATGTATGTATTATCTTCATCTGAAATTACTTTTTATGATTTTCATCCCTAAATAGCTTTTGAAAACGTGCTTGTCACAGTGTATGCTTTCTGTAGTTCTGTGTTTCTCAGCGTCCTTGCCCTGGCTCGTGGTAGGGCAATTGGATTGTTAATGGGTCATTTTATGAATATCTAAAATAATGTTACGTAGATGGCATCAACTTTAGGGATACTGGGGTTGTTCATGGCCCACCCCCAGAAAAGTTAGTGTGTTTGTGTGAGTGATGCCAAAAAAAATCCAATTCTGACTGTTCCAAATGTTTCGAAAGACATTGTATTGTTTAACATTAGGATATAAAAAGTTTTTTTTCTTACATATATTACTTTATTGTCTTCGTATAGGAAGGATTCAGGCATGTAATGATCAGATCTACTGTATTGTGTTTTCAAACTGAACCTCTCAATTGATAGATGCAGAATGTTATAGTAATGTCACAATAAGAACTATTGTATCTGCTCATCATTTTATAAGGTTATACTACTTGGTCTAGTACTGGAACTTTAGTCCTAACAAAGATTTAGCAAGTTATTGCTATGTCTGGGATAGTACAGCAAAGTTCATGAAGGATTTTAAAACAACTATTTTATTGAAACTAAGTTTAATATAAGGGCATAACTTTGTGCTAGAAATAATCACAATTTGTGAGAATGCAAATTAAATAGTGATCTGTAATCTAAGACTACACAGTCAAATACTAATCTACATGCTGGCTTAACAATTTAAAGACACGATAGTTTAAAGTACTAACATCAAGAGAACATAAAGCTTAGATAGTTACAACTGGCTAGAGCTACCAGAAACTAGCCATGCAACAAGCATACTAGAAATGTTCTGTTCGAAATGGAAAATAACTTCAGCTTAAGTGCACAGTAAATTTACATTCTAGTGAGGAATACAGAAAAAAAGAACTTAAAGATCCAAATGATAATTTAAGAACCTTACAATCTGAAATTGTAATTTATTCAATATTTTCAATTTGAGAATGTATGCAAGTTGCAAGATCTGAACTGTATACTAAATGGTACCCAACCTATACAAAACTTCAAAACGAAGCTTGTATAGAACCTCTTTTTGTTCCTATTCATCACTGGAACTTGTTAATTGTCCAGATAGTCTTTGAGTTGCAAAATACAGAGAAGTCGCAAGGTTCACAATCTGAATTATATGCTGAATATTACCTAACTTCCCATTCAAAATTAAGTGTAGTATGTTCCTCATATGATATTGCATTCATTACCAAGAAGAAATATTTTGCTCTGTTTTTTTTATGCATTTTGGTTTTTGCAGCTTTATTCAAAGACCTCCACATTTGGCAGCAAAAACTGGCTTTAATACTTGTGCCCTTTTCCTTTAACTCATATTATATCTGATAGGTTCTCAGTTATTGAGAGAAGTGGGTCAAGGAATCAAAGACATTACACAAATGACACCTGCTGATGTTATAGATGCATGTAGTTATACCATTTTGAATAGAACTAGAAATTTCCTAGTTGTATTAAAAAATTCTTTTTATTAAAAAAAAACTTATCAATTAGTAAATATTTTATTTATATTCTTAAAAGGGTAAAATCCTAGTATACGGTGCAGCTTTGGCGCGATTTTGAAAATTATCGCCAACACCAAAAATGACCCAAACAACGTCTATGTACTATACACTATATACATACCCAAACAACGTCTATGTATATACTATACACTATATACTAAGTATATATTATGTATAACTATATATATTCTTTGAATGACCTGTTTACTACTCATCGTATATGTCCCTTTTTTATTGCTCATCATAAAGTCGCCAAAAGTAGTAGCCAAATCACGTGTGCACCGGATACTAGGATTAAACCCTTAAAAGTTCTTCAATTTACAGAACAAGATATGTTATTAATTTTATTCAACTTTTGTCTTTTTTGTTTTGTTTAATTATAGATTCAGCACATTGGAATTATTAAAGAGTTCCTTTTGGTTCCAACAGATAGTGCAGAGTGTGACATATTAACTTTTAATAAATTATTTGATGATTTTGCCCTCAAGATTAGTACCATGGTAAATATGAAAGTACATTAATAATATTGCCTTCCTCTTCTTTTAAAGTTTTTCTCTGTTACTTAAACATATGCAATTTTCATTTTTAGTGTTCAAATAACAGTTCCTTGAAAGCATCAGAAAAGTCTGAAGAAAATGAAATAATTGATGTTGAAGGAGACATTTCTTCTGACTCATTTTCAAGTGTAAAGAAAAATCTAGTTCAGTTACAAGTTGATCACAATGAAGTATGCTATTTTTTTTTTTCCCCCATGCTGTCTATAATATTTCTATACCTAAAATTTTGATTGGAAGTTAATTTTATAATCACTCCTGAAATGTTGTTTTTGCATTTGCTTTGCACTTGTTTTAATAATATGTGGGTAAGGAGGATTTCTGAATTATTAGAAAGGTAAATATGAGAGGGAGAAAAACATAACAAGTTTATTACAAAACAGTGAAGTAATAAAAACATAACATATTTATTAGAGGATAATACAGTAGCATTAGAATGAAAGTAACTATTTTTAAGTTTATGTAGTACAATCTAATAAAATTCTAAAAAAAAAAAAAAAAAAAGATACTTACTTAGTAGTGCAAGGCACCATTGTGATATTTTGCAGAAGAATATAAATAATGATTTATAATAGCACAAAATTATTTATTACATGTATATTTTACATTTTAATTAAGTATTTATCCTGAAAGGTTAATCAATAAACCTACATACATGTTTTTTTAGGGAGGAGTAGAAATTTCGCTACTTTTCCGTTTCGCCGGCGCAAATTTTGCCAAGCAGACTTTATTGGCGACAACATACAGTATGCACATAAAAAATATTAAAAAAGAATGTTAGTTCTAAGAATTCTTTTTTTGAAGGCATAAACATTTTAATATCGCTTACAATTTTATAAAAAGCCAATAAATAAAGGCAATAAATTTGCAAAAAGACATTAAATTAAGAATTTACTATGGTTCAACATCCTGATTCGCCGGTTCATATCACGTGACCCCAAGCGATCTCATCTCACATAAACTACTCTACAAAAATCTAATGCTCTCAGTAATTATCTACATTAATTTGAAGTTAAATCTTAATTTGGAACACAAGTTTAAATGCAAGAAATATTTCAGTTCGTACGAATAACTTACTCAGAAATTATGTAAAAATGCAGTACTTTACTTCGCTAATGCATTCTCATTAGAGTCGAAGAATTTAACCTTTGACTTTACCTTTTCTATATTTTCGGCTTCGGGCAAGCACTGTGATTGCATCCTAACTGACTTAATCCTAACTGACGAAAATGGCCTTAGACATAAAACTGAACTATCTGATAAAAATTCTATGTAATTATATGCCAGTAATGAAAGAAACAATCAATCTGATAAGAAAAAGCTGCGACTTGTTTTGAAAATGAGCCGTAAAAGGTTACCAGCGAGAATATTCCGTTTGGCATCGGTTGTACCATTATTGGCGACTTTATCGCTTGCGCCGGTAAAACGGAAAAGTACCGAAATTTCTTAATCCATTTAAGAATAGAATCTAAATATCATTTCGAATAGTGATTTTGTGGCAAACTACATATTCCTGCAAAAATTTTATTGCAGTTTCTTGCATTGTAAATCACTTAGAAGCATATTTTTTAATTGAATTTAAAACGAAAGAAATGATGATTTTCTTCTAAAAACTATTGGAACTTAGAATACAACAAAAGAAAAGCATGCAAAAATAACGACATTGCTTGTTAGAATGAAGAATTGTTATACATATGGCTGGCTGTTGGAGTATGGCCGATTGTAAAAATTTTATGGTTTCTTTTAAAGTCTTTGTGTTAATATGCAAATACCAGGAAAATTTGCTGGAGGAAATTTTTATTCATCGAAGATAATGTTATCACTAAAAAAAGATAAAAAAAGCAAATTCATACTCAACTATATCAGCTTGCGCTATATCAACTTGTCTTAAACTGTTTCCATTTATTACTCCTTTTCATCATTATATATCTCATATCCTTACCAAGCCTTTATTTCCATAATCACTGGTCGTAGTCATATGCTTCTAATTACAGAAGAATTTCGGATGAGGAAAATATTCATTTTTTGGCAATGTCAAATTTTTAAAAGAATTCATTTTGGACAAATAACAAAATCTAACTTTTAGTGTGGTTTCCTGGTTCCTATACTTATATTTAGGAAAGTTTATACTAATTATGAAAAATAAAAGTACAAGAAGTTTGACTTCCATATGACAAAAATTGACTGGGATATTTTATTTCAATATTTGAAGTTTTTTGTGTCATTTTTCAAACTTGAGGAATTTAATTAAGACACAATAACATGCTGAATAAGTACTAATTCAATAGTCAAACAACAAAATTCAGCGTTAATTTTCAAAATTTTCACAGGACTAGTTTCGATGGTTTTACCGAACCACCATCCTCAGCTGCAAAACCGCAAATGAACAAAATAGGAAATAATGGTTAGATGAGATAAGAAAGCCTGGACAAGAATAAGTAAGTGGTGCCATCTGTTGGTGAAACCAGAACTAAAACATAATTTCTTTAAAGGCCAATTGGTGGTTCGGTAAAACCATCGAAACTAGTCCTGCGAAAATTTTGAAAATTAACGCTGAATTTTGATGTTTGACTTCTTAATTGAGGAATTTAGTTAGAATAATTCAAGGAAATAAGTTTAAATGATGCTATGTGGTGTCCTTATCAGTCGTTTTTTCCCCTGCATGTCTGTGCATGTACCATTGTCAAATATTTCTCTTCATCAGCTTGTCATTCAAATGGTTGAACAGTCTTATTATTGTTTACTTTCCCTTTTTGACAAAAAGTCATCATCTTTGAAGCACTTTCACCCACTTTCTGTCCACTGCTTGGACTCATATAAGTAAGAATGGAACCACAATCATCAGCTGATTAGAAAGGCTTGCAGGTTACAGTTAAACATCACTACCCAATGCTTTGGAATTTCCTTTCATGTGTAATTTTGGTTAATGGTCAGTTATCACAGCACAAGCATCACACATTGCTTTTTTTTTTTTTTTTTTTTTTTTTTTTTTTTTTTTTTTCAAGATGCTATGCACTCTTTTATTTGAGATGCCTGCTGTCTTGACAAAAATTGCATACTTTCATTTATGGATCTTCTGTTATAATTATGAATTTTTTAATGATATGAATTGTGAAGATTTCAGCCTGATATCCAAGAGGAACTTCATTTTCACTGAATTTCTTTTTGTGCTATAAGATGACCATAAAAAGTATCTGCAGTTTTTCTGAATTGTCTAAAAGTTATGCAATGATGATAATTATGTAAACAGATTGTGGTTCAGTAAAAAGACTACATTCCACATAAATAAAAAAGTGAACAAACAAACCTACTTAAAAAGTTGTATTGAATTATTGAAACTAAGCACAATAACTGGAGAAAAATATGTTTTCTGCAGTGTTTATGTTAAAAGTGTGCAGTTTGTACATCTTTCCTGTTTGAACTGTTAGTAGGGAGATATTCAGGTATATGCAAACTATATGGTTTGTATCACAGCTTGGAACATAGAAATACTTTCTTCATCTAACAGCATGTTGGAGCCTAATGCTGCTACCTCCTTAATGTAAGCAACTACCTTAACAACACATTGCTATATCAATGGAATGGATCCTAATATCTTAAATTTTTTTCTGTGTTAATATGTAAAAGACTTTGTCTGCAAACTATCATTCCCTCAAGATGTGTGTGAACTGTAAGATTGCTTTCGAACTGCTACAGAAACCATTGTTGAAAATATGTTGAAACACATCTTGGAGGCATTAGATTATCATACTGACACTTGGAGTAGGGTGCTGCAACTAGATAAGTAAAAGTTTGAGTTTATTTCACAATAAGCATCAACAAATAAATATATATAGCTATGTTACATATATGCGAAAGTCTCATTTTGACAATTTAAAATTAGATTATAACAAATGTAAATCATTGAAATAACTTTCAAATACTATGAATAATGTATGATGTTAATTAGATAATTAATAATGTTAATTAGATAATGGAATTTCTAAAGAGTTGAGGAATTGTGGTCTTTTTATTGAAAGAAATAAGTTTAACTAACAGTTCAACTGTAATAAATAGAGTTTATGATGCTTTATTATTTTCCACAATAGTTTTTAGGGATAAAACACAAGTGTATAGTTTTGGTTATGCAGGCACATTTTCTTTCATATCAGAAAGTTCCAATGTTAATAATGATTTTATCTTATTTTCTTGAAGTGTTTGATACCTTAGCAATTGAAATCTATATCAGATGTATTGCTTTTTTAAATAGATCAAAAGAAGAATATCGGCCTTTGTATCTAGAAAACGAAAGGAAGTTGATGAGTGGAATGTGCAAGAATTCTGCAATCGACCATATGTTGAGGAACAAAGCCCAGCATGGGGTATGTTGCATAAATTTTAACAATGAGAAAAAGCTTTTTTAATGTACCGTGTGTATCAAAAATCACTAAACATTTAAAAATAATGTAAAAAATGAAGAAGTTAATGTAAAAGGATACAGTGTACAGCAAAATTTGTGACATGAATTTTGAATTTTTTGGCAAAAGATATGTTACTATCTAATGTAATTGATTAATAATATTACACTCTCATCCTACTTTTCAAAAGACATTTAACAAAGGAAACCTTGCTTTAAATACTGTACAGTTACTTCATTTCACTGTGTTTCTCATTATCAGGTGTTCAATATGTCCCCCCACCAATGGAAAAATTTTGATACCTGTCAATTAATGCGGCGTTAGTTGCAATAGTGCACCAAAGGGCCAAATATGAAAATCTACTTAACTCAAGGATAGCTATGCAATGAAATTATTTTAGCTCAAGGATAGCTAATGCAATGAAATTATTTTAGACAGCAAGAATAGACACTGATCCAGTAATTTTTCATCTGAGATCTTCAGTTGCTTTTCTTTTTGAAGTGCTGATTTCTTTATCAGAAAGAATCATTATGAATTGCAATATTTGGCATTTGTCAATTGACAGACAGTTGCAATTAAATTTTTCCATTATAAGGTTTTCGCAATACTAAAAGTCTGTTCAGAAAGCCACAAAATGAAATTATAGTTTACTATTATCAGAGCTGGAATCTTACTGCAACTAGAGATCATGCCTCAAGAAAAGAGGTCTTCAGAATAAATGCTGGTTCAAAGATTTCCTCATTTCTTTCCTAATAGCTGTTGTGGTTTATATACTTCTGATGTCAAGAGCTTATGTTAATAGAATTCTGCCAAATACATCTACGAATGAATCATTGTAAAATGCTCATGTGGAATAATTGCATGCATTTTTATTTATAAATTCCTCTATTCGACTTTTTTTCTTTTTTTAAAACTACTTTAGATTTAACAATATAGCCATTCATTTCCTAAATCTGCGGCCCACCAGCGGCCGAGCAGTAAAGTCGCTGAACACTGGTAGTTCGGTCTGAGGTTGGAATCCCGCGAACGGGCTGGCTGCATGGGCGTTTTCGTGGTTTTCCCCATGTGTAATGTGTATATGAGCCAGTTTCCCTTAGAAAGTCCTCCACAAAAGCATCCCTTCCCTTAGGCAGATAGCCCTAGTGTGCTTTGCCATAATTAAATACACCAAACACCTAAATCTGTGTACATTATTAGGGTTGCCACTGCTATCTATATTTCATGCTAACATTAACATTTAGTGCCAAATGGCATCCTTTTTGACCAAAAAGTACCTTCCCCCCCCTTTTGAGCAATTGAGATTGTAGTGGCAGACAGTCATTGGCTAAATATCACATGCAAACCATATAGCAGCATAGATGAAGACTAATAACATGATTAAGCAAATGATGTTAGTAGTGTCTGGAAAATTTTAAGAATCGCAAGTCTGCCAAGTTTGTTAGTGATGCAAATATATCTGTAAAAGTGGCATAAACATTTTATTTCAATGATTTGCAACAAACCACTTCATTACAAATTCATTTCTATTTGAAAATCTTTAAACTACTGTTCTAATCATAGTCTCGCGATAAACTGAAGCGTTGCTACTCCTTTTCAAACAAACTATTAACTGAGGTAATTTACTTACCATAAGTGGTGCAACATTCTCCCCACTTGAGTTTTAGAACCTTTGGGAGAACACTCAACAAAATATAAACATTAAATGTAAACTTTATAAAATACATGTAATATTCAAAATATAAAATGTCTATTTCAAGTTAGTGTTCACATTATTATATTTGCATAAAACTTCTTATTTGTCTAGAACCTTGTTTTAAGTATTGCACAGCTTCTGTGTAATTCTTTGGAGAGGCCAGATTTTCCACATCTTGAATAAGATAAAGTTTCTCACCCCTGAAGTAAAAGGGAATTTTGACAAGGTTCAATTGTTCCAAGTTCTCGATTTCTTTCAAGTGTTTCCAACACCTAGAACAGTCAATTAGTTTGCCATCAAATTGATGGAATAAAATTTCTCAAAAATAGAAATCTAAAATTTGGCAATGGTCATCATTTGTAAGTTTGTATTTTACTCCTTCTAAGTCAGAGATGGATGTCCTAAGTTTTTTCTGAGGAGATCTTTAAGTATGCCGATTAGTCTTTCCCAAAATCCTCCCCACCATGGAGCAGATGGTGGGTTGAACTTCCATTTGATTTGACTAACTTAAAGTTCTCTTTGAATTTTTATCCAATCAAGCTGTTTTAAAGAGGAGTTATTCTTGATTTAGCTTGGAGTAGCTGCACCTTTGCAGTACTATCAGAATATTCACATCTTAATTTTCTTAAATCAGTTTCTTTAAATCAGTTTCTTTAGATCAGTTTCTTTAGACCAGTAGGTGTAAGGTAATTTGTATCATTTTGTCCTTCAGATGAAGCCAGAGGCTGATCAGATGGTGTGAGGTCTGAATCCCTGTTCTGAGAATTAGGAACTGTTGAAGACTGAGGGCTGTCAACTGTTCCAACACCTTCATCATTGGAGGCTGAAACAGAACACCCATCAGGTGATAAATTTTAAGAATTTGAAGAAACACTCAGGGTCTGTTCCAAGACCTTCGTCAAGGGAAGGTGAAGGATCTCTACTCTCTGTAGGCATCTCATCATCAGTATCACAATAATCTTTCTTTTCCGATTCTTCCTCAATATAATCAGCTGCAGCAGGATCAGAAGGTACCAGATCAGAAGTTAATGTGCATTTATTTAACACAAAATCTCCCTTGTGTGCCACAATTTCTCCTGTTGTATCGAAGATAACATCCCCTTTCTTATCATCTTCCAAAGCTAACAGCAACACAGGTACAAATACACTTTTCATAAGCTGTGTCTTCTTACAGGGTTGCTTATTTACAGCATTTTTGGAGGAACTTTAAACAACTTAAATTCTTGCCAAATCAGTACACAAAAACGGAGCACTTAACTTTTCTTCTTTTTGTTTTTCTTTTTCTTTGGCAGTTTCTTACCTATTTTGTTGCTCAGCTAATTTTGATGCAACTGATTTGCCAAGTTGTACAGTACAAAGTCTCATTCAGACTCATCAGATCCAGACTCATCAGGACTTTGGCAATTCTGGATTAGGGTTTTTTCCCGATTATAGATCATCAATTTAAATCTGGTAAGTTGGCATGCAGAAATTATAAAATTTAAAATATGAAACCATAATTTATAAAATAAAGAGCAATTATGATCTAAAGGATATCAAAATTTACAAAAAAAAGCTTAATATTTATTTGTTTACTTTATTAAACATTTCTTTCAATGTAAGTTGTTTAAGTTGCTTCGTTTTTTGTGCTAATACTTTCTCTTTAATTCTATAAACAGACACAATTTCTTGTTCAGTTTTACTGTTCAAGTCCTGTAATTCTGTGTCGAGAATACCGACTAACTTGTCAATCAAAATATTTTCGTTTTCAATAACCTCTCTGTCACTTTCTTCACTATTGGAAGCAGTACGTTGAAACATGCTTTCACTTTGTAGATCCTTTGGCAGCTCCAGAATCGGAAACTCTTTTTGACATAATCGAAAGTTCAAGCTTACTTTTTATAAAATTGCTCTAACAGTCTGCAAAAAATAATAAGCTGGATCCAATTAGAAGATTAAGGAGCAACGCAATCTGCAACATTAACTAAAATAGATAATTAGATAATTTTAGCCTAGCTTATACTGTCTGTTATACATTAAACACGCATGCGTAAATTCATATGCGCATGCGCGAAGGTATTATGCGCATGCGTGAACACATTATGCATTGATGCATGCGCAGAAAGTTTGTAGCTTTGAGGTCCGGATTAAAGACTTTATACTGTATATGTAATCCACCTTTTACCATATATACAAGAACTTCCTCGAAGCAGCAAAGCAGCTGAATTTAAATTTGAGATCATCAAACCAAGTTTGTTAAATAATCTTGCAGCAGCTCAGCAATGTTGACGTTGAAGGACTTCTCAGGATCTTTAATATGATTCAAAAGTTCCTTCTAATGAGCTTCAATATTTGGTGGAGCCATAATTTTTAACTTTTTCTAGCTTGTCGCTGTTCCAATTAAGCCACCCACCCGAGGGTCAGTTTCTTTAGACTAAAGATACTCATTAAATCAGATAAATGAAATGGCTCGCTTGAAATTGGCAGACAAGAAATTTCATTTTAGGCATAAACATTTTATTTCAATTATTTGCAACAAACTGCTTGATTACAAACTCATTTCTATTTGAAAATCTTTCAACTACTGTTCTAATCATAGTCTCGTGATAAGCTGAGGCTTTGCTACTCTTTTTCAAACAAACGATTAACTGAGGTAATTTACTTACCATAAGTTGTGCAACATTTACATAGAAGAATCATTAGATTTGCTGTGGTTTGGAGTGTGGTGTGGTTTCATGGCCTTTTTTTGAGAAACTATAGACATTAAGTGTCTAGAAAACATTCTGTGCAACGGAATAACATTACCTGCAAATTTTGTGCAAGAAATTTAGGACCATGCTTGAATTTACCTTATAATTTTGTAGAATAATCATCATACATAATCTTAATTTATGTATGATGCACCTTCTGACATGGCAGCTCTTGTGAAATAGTTTCTGGTAAATGCATGTTGTTTAAATTGACTGATTAATTGCTTATAACGTACAGTGTGATCTACTTGCCATCCAGACTGATATAGTGGTTAATGGTGCTAGCTGATATATCATGGGGTCCTGGTTCGAATCCCAGAGAAAGCATGAAAGTTTGTAAATGTATATGTAGCATGGGGTGCTTAAAATACTGGTGAGGCAGAAGTTCTGTCTAATGGTTCGATTGTAAGGGAAGGAGATGGGAGCTCAGTCAAAATTGGAATGGAACTGTACAATCAGTGCAGTTGGACTATATTGTGAAAGTTTGGTGAAGCTCTGGTGTTCTTCTATCCTGTATAGTCTTCTTGCTTACTGAATTTGACACCCATGGATTTTTGGCTGTCTGTTTGAAGTCTCAGGTATATAACAGTGACCACCTTTTAAGCTCACTGAAGGCTTCTGTCTGTTACAAAGTCACTTTTGTAAACCCAGATATTGCTTAGTGCATTGGTGAATATTGTGATCACGTGCTTGCAAAATGTGATTTCCTGTGTTGAAGGACATAGTGCACAGTCAATAATGTAAATCAGCGGTGCCCAACCTTGTGCTCGCCAATCGTTTTGTATGTGCTCACCAGCTCGATTAGGTAAAAATTAATAAAAAATTATTAACAAAAAATATTTAAAAAATAACCTTTCATTTATATTTCTTAATTGTTAAAATATTGTAAGCATTTATAGTCATAAGAGATATCTTGCAAGACGTTATAAAATAATTGATTGCTGACTGATGAACTTGATAGCGAACATGGAATCTTGCTTCATTCCGATGTTTAGATGGCTCAGCTGGGGAAAAGTACTTCAATGGTTTGAAGAATTTCTTTCGCCAAGAAAGCAGTTTTGGGAATCTGGAAACGAAAGTTATGAAGAATTGGACGATAATATTTGGTTATCTGATCTGTATTTTCTCACGGATATAACAGCTAAACTGAACAAACTGAATGAAGATCTCCAGGAAAAAGAAAGAAATTCTTTTTCAATTGACTGGGACTGTAACTGCTTTCCAGATAAAATTAAATTTGTGGATAAATCAGATGAAAGAAAACAATTTCACCCATTTTTCAGAATTTATCAAGCCATATTAATAACCACAAGGCAATTGAAACAGAGAAATACTTGGAAAACCTAAATGCACTAAAAAATAATTTTGAACTCCTTCTCTGATTTCCATAAAGTTCAACCAATATTATTATTAATCTCAAACCCACTTGCCAAAATTAATATTTCAGGTGTATGACCTAAGATTGGAAATATATTTAACAAAAATGTTGATGTTTTGGAAATGTGCTTGGGATAGACCAAAATGTGCTCGCAAGAGGCCAAAATGTGCTCGCAAGAGGCCAAAGGTTGGGCACCACTGTGTAAATTACGGTGTAATGAAACAAGTATACAATATTTAAACAAGCTTTCTTTCATTATCATTTAAATGGTAGAAAAATAGTGTAAGTTATCTGTCAATAAAATTATGAACTTTTTGGCCCAAAAAAGTCTAAATTCATGATTTGAAATAATGCAGATTACATCCTCCTGCAAAAGTATGTTCATTCTTTATGATTGTTTTAAAGTTTAATGATATTTGGTGCTTTCTGTATAATTTTTATGTAATATATAGTGTATAATCAACCAGAATGGTCCATGTTATTATAAAAAAGTAATCTGTTTTGTACTCAATATAGGACTCTATAATGTTTATAATATATTAAAATAGAAATCTTTATATTGTCAAACACTGTACAAAACTGTCTAATACTTAAAAATCAGATGTCAAACTTTAAGTATCTGTGAATGTAATACAAGATGCTTTTCCTGTGTTTACTATTAATTATTATCAGTTGTGTTGTACTTAGATTGTTTGTTAGCAGTGTTCTTAGATTTGTTGTTACCATTTATACCATTTCCATTATCATCTTTGCAAGTCTGCTATCAGGCTTATGATTATAACCAAATTTTCTTTGAGAATTTTACCAGTGGCTCTTTGTTATGATTTGAAATGAAGCATAAATACTGCCTAGAAGGCAAAAAAATTATTATTTTTAAAATTTTTAACAGATAAAACAGTAAAATATCTTTGCAAAATAGGTAAATCTGTGCAAAATAAATAAAGATGAAAAAAGGGAAAGTAAAAAATATGAGTCGATAAAAATACATATGTACAGTAAATAAATATGTACAGATTCGAAAGAGTAAAAATCATATTAATTCTTTGTAAAATACGATGTACAAATGCAACATTAAAAAGTAACAAACATGAACTGCTACTAGAAAAAAAAAAAATCAGCAAGACTTGAATTCTTGATCTTGCGATCTGGAGAAGAATTTTTAAGCCATTGTGCCACTAACTAGGACTCAATAGAAAGTGAGGGAAAATGAAGATAAGCTGTGTGTTGAGACTCCAGGATGAATCATTAAACACAGTGTAGGGTCATTTTTAATGCTTCAAAGCTGTGTGATCATAAACTAAGACTTCTGCAATTTCTACATGGTTAGACGTCAGAATATTTTTAAAACACCTGGCAGATATCTAAATTTTTTTCAAGAATCTTAAGTGCTATGATGGGAATTTTCAGACTATCAATCCATTCCCAGTAAAAGGGGAGAGAAATTAGCAGTCACAGAGTATAATTTTGATCTATTTCCAACTGCATAAATAAATAAAAAGTGGTATTTCCCAATTATCTGCCTAATCCTGCAAAAGAATTCATTAAACAGTGCACTATGTCATCAAGATGCGCAACTCATAACATCACAAATAGGTATTTATGTGGCAGCCTAGGTATACAGGCACATGCAGCATGATTGCAGATTTTGACTTTTGATATTCAAAGATCATGAGTTGGTGTTACCTCCCCTTGTAAAGATTATCATATAAATAGGAATTTAAATTTATGATATATAAATACAAAGATAGCTGCTTATTTATCCCCCAGTCGACTGTGAAAGTTGCAAAGATCTCGCCATGAATTATTTATATGGAATTCTGAATGACACTTCTATCTCCAAGTCGTATAATAAAACATAGTTAGTCTCCGCACAGTCCACAAAGTAAACACTGCTATTGTGGCTTCATTTTTTTGCATCGTAAAAAGCTCTTGTCAATTTTTACTATTCTGCTTGACCCTCTGATTCTACAACCTTAGAATTCTCCCCCCCCCCAAATGCAAGGGAAAAAAATCATTCAGCAATAACAATAAACTGATATCCTTGTTAATATAAGCAAATGGTAGTTTATAGAGAGTCAGTCGGGGTTACATCAGATGAAATTGCAGATGTTATGAGTGTGTTATGACATTACACCTTACCATAACTGCAGTAATTGGCAGTAAATTTCACTACTTGGTGACAGCTTCATGGTTGACAGGATAATATGTAAATACCTGAAGATATTCAAAGAAATTAAAAAAGTTGGGATAAGTCTTTGATCAATGCAATTGATATGGGATAAAAAAACTTAATTTTTGTTTTTATTGTATTTTAGTACACTGTCTTCCCATTAGGTTTTATCTTAGATGTTCAAGAAGTTCAAGGAAAAACAGTGAGATTCTGCAAGTTTTTATTTTAATGTATGATTTTTGTAGTAATATTTGATATAGTACCTGGAATTTTCACATTAAATATTAAAACTTCAGAAAATAAAAAATAAATGTACTAAAAAGTTGAACTTATGGGTAAAAAATTACCTGAGATATGTATAGCAATTAAGTAGAGTTGTTGTAATGTATCATATATATTATTTAAAGTAATACAAAAGTTCTTAATTCTGTTCTCTCCTTTGGTTTGTGTGTGCTAATGACCCAATACTTGAGAAACTTCTGTATCATAATAGATTCATTTCCAAGTCAATTTTTTGCAGTTCTTTTTTTAAATACCATTAAATTTGATTAATTTTTAAGGTAATGCTTTTTAGCTGTTAATGAATCATTGAAGTTCACTTTAAATCTGTATCTGCACAATGTGTTTGCATGAGGTTCGTTTAATTTCTGAAATTATTTTGTCATTTTAATATTTTAAATTATTTTTTACTCATTCAAAAATTTATATAACTTTAAAACTCTGATATGTAAGATTACTATTAAATGCAAAGTGTTTATTAGTTTAAGACTTGCAATTTTATCAGAAACTAAAAATAAATAATAATTCTAAATATATAATTTAAATACTGACATTTTAATAATTGAATTGCAATCATTAAATAATTTAAATCTTTATTGTTTCGACGATTTGAGGATATGTTTTAATGTTTATGATACTTTTATGATTTCAGAGCAGATAGATAGCTGTGCTAGAGTTGATGCAGTTTTTATTCCAAGATTTGGCAGCAAGAGCCATGTTAAAGGTTTTGTATCATATTTATTATAACATATATTAATTATTTTATTTCAGGTTGGGGTAATTTGCTATTTTTACCCAAGTTGTAGAGTCATTAGGTTATTTGAAAGTAGGATTACGTGAAATGAGCGATGCCCTCGTTAGAACCCGAACCTGGACCTCTCAAATGCATGCCAAGTGTGCTAACCGTTACACCACGAAGATATGCAGAAAGGAGGGAGAAAATACCTTACATACTCCCCCTTTTAATGTTCGACTGGGGATTAGGGACACCCAGTCACCAAACTCTGGTGGTGAAGAATCATCATCTACCACCTTTTAGTTCGGGCACCACTGTACAGTCATTAGGTTATTTGGAAGTGGGATTACGTGCAATGAGGAATGCCCTCATCGGGACTCGAACCTGAAACTCTCAAATACACACTATGCTAACCGTTACACCACGAAGGCATGCAGAAAGGACAAGGAAAATATTTAAGTGTAATATTACTTAATCCAAGCAAAGTGTAATATTTAAATAAAAATATGTGGTAACAAATGTGTTGTTTGACAGTGTCATATGTATTCTATTAATCTAGAAATCTGCTTTTTTTATTTTTTTATTGTATTAATATAATACACTGAGGAGAAAGGATTCATGCAAATGGCAGTTACCTAATGAGTTATACACTGATTTGGTCGATACTGGTCTCAGATGGGCTTCCCATAATGCGCAAATTCTATCCTTGTTTTAGAATAATCAGCATGTCTGTACATCATGATCTCTATGACTTTCATAATAGAAATAGATGACATAATTCATATGTTATGCAGTATTGAAGACTGTGCAAGAATTTTGGTTTTACTGATCTATAGCTTCAAGAGTTTCTCATAATTGTGTGTGATACTGATGTCTGCTCAATGCCCATAAACTAGTAAACAAGCTTTTGTGTGCATTTGATACATGGCACTATCCCTGGTTGTCATAAGCAGTGTATATGAGATCCTGTAAATTTCACTGCAAGTAACCTACACCATTTTTCAAAGGGCCACTGCATATCTCTTGTACTTACTGAAGTCGTTTCAAGATTCTGTCATGTTCCATACTTGCAGTTCACAAACTTCAAAAATTGAGTTGAGTTCAAAGGTGTCAGAATTAGATGGTTGGATAGGATAATCTAAAGAATCATGGTTGTAGTTGTTCTAAGCTAATCAGCATTATGAAATAGAATAGGTCAGGGATGGGAAACCCTTTTCTCTTGCCTTTTAAGCTTCAATAGCAGGGCAAAAGGCCATGAGTTAATAGAATCTTGAGTGTTATTGTTCTGCAATTATTATTAAATTATTTTTAAAAACAGATTCTGAATTCAAAACAAAAGTAAAAGAAAAATAAAGCTTATATACGAGTTGTACATAAGGGCATGAAAATATAAGGTAATGGTTTTAGTTTATGTTTATAAAAATATACGGTGTAAATTAATGCAATTTTTGGATTTGTTTGTTGCTTGAAAATTGTCCAGTGCTTGGCTCTAGTTTTGTAATTCGTAGTTTGAACTGATCTTCTAAATGAACATCAGTTATCTGTGATCTTAAATGATATTTAATTTGTGTATTATATAAAAATGTTGATTCATAATAGAAAGTACTTGTAAAGCAGGAAAGCAAAGGGCATGCAGTGTCACAAAAGTTTGGGTATTTAACTGCATTTTTTCATGTCATTGGTATTTTTTTTAATCAAAAAGCTATATGATAATATTATCTTCTTCCAACACAAATTATTCTCGTTATAGTTCCATGAATGCTTTTGAGACTTTGACCAGGTGCAGTTCAAAAGCTAGCTACGTTATAAGAATATGCTCTTCAAAATCTGAAAATCTATCCTTCTAGTTTTCAATTAAGGAATCCAAGACAACTGCACAATTATCAAATTTTTAAGTTCATATTTCTGCTCGTTTTTAAAATTTTTAGTTATAAATGTTCTTCCGATGCATCTGTGCAAGAGAGTAAAATTTTAAAAAGTCAAGTTCTTTCAAAAGATATGAGTTTTTTGGTGTTTATGATGTATTATATGTTTCGTTTTATATTTCAGGGAAATATGTAAATCAATTTAATTTGTCCTCTCATCTGACTGCCAGAAAAATTCTTTGTTCTACAATTTTCTACTAAATTTATCTGATAATTCACATGATTGTCATTGCTTCTTGTAAAATGTTAAAATTTGTTTTCATAAAGCTAAAACTTTATTGAGAATTTGTCCCCTTGATAACCAGTGCGATAATAGTGCAAATCAACACCATGTTTTATCATCTAATATTAGTATGTTATGGAATTCTCAATGGCACATTACATTCACTCAGATAAAGAAATAGAATAATAGAAATAATTTTGTCCATAATATCTTCTAAAATTTTTGCTGTAGTGTGGTGATTTTGGTAATATAATGTGCTACAGAACAGCAATGATTTTCTTTAATTTTTCTTTTCCTTTTTTTTTTTTTTTTTTATCAAAGAAACAAATCTTTCTTTCTTGCCTTATCACATTGCAGTCTTAAAACCTCAGTCTCCCTCACCCTGGAATAGACGCACAAGTCCATGAACTATGTATCCTTTCTTTCTGCACATTCTGGCAATAAACCTGTGATGGTGAATGGAAATGCTAATAGGGCTTAGAAAGCATTTAATGAGTTTTAAGCCTTGTATAAGGTAAATGTCTAAAATTGCCTTCTAAGTTTTCTGCATAGTCCCCTTAAATTTTATGCAGTTAGCATAACAATCTGTTAAGCACTGGATTCCAGCTGGAAAAAAAGAAAAGTTTATTACAGCCTTCAAACCATTCTTAAATGATGTTCTTCAAATCATCGTCGTCATTATAATGTAAAACATGCAATACTGCTTTATGTTTTTAAATACAGAAGGGCCATGTCTATAAAACAGTTGATTGGTTGGGAAAAAGCCGGAATTCATATTGCTCAGCAGTAGTCTCAAAAATCTTAGCCGTTAATGTTGGAACACTGTCATGCAAAAGTAACACCTTTCTGTCAAGTTTTGCATGGTGTTTTCCTTTTATGACTTTCCCAAAAAACACTTCAGTCCATAGGTTAGTTTAATTAAACACAATAGCACAGTCTAATATGACATATACTGGGTTTGAGTAATTATGATTTAATTAATGACATTACACATACCTAAATATTTAGCAATGTATCTTTTTAAATATTCATGTTCTAGTTTTAAAGTTTGTTATAAAATTAGGCTGAACATACACATCATTTTAAACAGAACAGTGTCTTTTTTTTTTTTTTTTTTTTTTTTTTTTTTTTTTTTTTTTTAACTTTTCTTATTTGTTAAAAATATCAATTTTGCCCTGTTTTAATAGAAGTTATAAATATGCTTGTTTACTAGTCAGTTCTAAGAGACTGTTTATAATCTGTAACCACATATTGAAAGTCTAAGCACATTTGATCACTTTTTTGCTCTTATTTTCATTCATTCTTGCAACCTGGAAATACTTTTCTTTAACAAGAAATATATTCTTCAGCTTGCTTAAATGCATCATTTTATACTCTTTCATATGACACATTTGGTAGTCTGTGTAGTTTATATTCTTTCTCCTGACACAGTTGATGGTTGCATTTTCCCAATATATTAAAAATATTGACAGTAATACCATTTCATTAAATTATTCTGAGAGACCATAACAGCTATGAACATGAAAATTGAAAAGAGTTTGTTTCTAGAGTACTCGAAAACCTTTCTTCATTAAGAATGAAACAAAATTGTTGTTTTAGAAGATGTTTTGTCTTCTACAACAACAATTTTTTTATGTCTTTTTTGCATTCTATTTTTTACAATCAGTTGCTATCATTTCCTTAACAAACTTTTCTATTAAAATCTCAAAATGCATATTTTTGTTATTAATTATTTCTGAGTTTGGATTATTAGTTCTAAAATGTTTGTTATTGTATAAATGTTTTATATTTAATAGTTTCAAAGGTGGAAAATAGGTGGGGCCCACAAACTCAGTCCAGAAATGACTCAATAAACAAACGGATCAAGAAAGAACCTGATAGTGAGCAAGCACAAGAACAAAGTGATGAGACATTTGAAGCAATACAAGAAAGATTACAAAATATGGAATCACATCTAAAATTAAAATCAGGTAAATTTATTTGTCTATTTTTTAGTGGTTAACATTCACTGTGAAATAGTTATTTTCTTTGGCTTAGTAGCTTGTGTAAACATGTGTGAAGTAGCATTTCATTTTAGTTCCAGTTCTTTGTGGTTAGGTTGATTGCATATTTTTCTATATAACATAAATATGAACTTGTCTTGTTGTGTACATTATAGTGATATAGGATGTGAATCAAAAAATGAAATTTTATGAACATTTCATTTAAAAAGGTGTACTGTAATATGCTCTTGTGAAACTTATTTTAGAAAATAAAAAAGAGCAGATTAAAAAAAAAAAAAAATTGCTGATGTTTCAACACTTCTTAATCCTAAAGATGCATAATACCATTAGATATCTGAGCTGTTTACTAAAACTAATTTCATTTTATACTGAGAAGTAAATCAACTGCATATATTTAGCTTTTTTTTCCTTCTCTCATATTCAATACTGCTGATCATTTATATGTTACTTTATTTACAATTATTATATTTTAATAAGTCTCTTTGTGCATTCTGTTTTCCAAGATAGTTTTGTAGAAAATGTATGAAAATTCATTCAATTTTTGTTACACCAATGGAATAAAATAGGTAATGTGTATGATCTCTTTAATTTTATCCTGCTTGATGTTTATTTAAAGAATAAATTTTTAAATAATGCTTTGACAAAAATTTATGAAACTTTCTTTTTCATTTTTAAAAAATTTCTTATATTTATAAATGTTGCAGACAGTTGTATGAGGTACAACATCATGCAAAGGCTTAAAGAACTGGAAAATAGAATTCTGTTCTTGGAAGGCATTTCTCCAGATTATTTTCATGTATCGGTAAGTTATACAAGTGTCATTGGTGCAGATGATTTTCATACTAATTATGAAATCTAACTGATCAGCTTCAAATCAGATGTCAATGTTTTATATACATGAAGTTGTTTTATTATGTTCAGTAGTTAAAAATTATTTTAATAAATAGCCTGCAATTCATGCCTTTTCTATGATTATTTTATCTCTTTATTTTTGCTGTCAATAAATCATATTCACTCTGTTATTGTAAAATTGTAGATTTTATAGGTTAACATATCTTATTAAATTAATGCATTTGAGGTAATTTTCCATTAAAGCCATACCATACATTTTTAGTGCTACAGACGTTGACGTTTTTAGTACTACAGACGTTGACTAATTTCTTTCCCCCACCTTTGGCTTGGTACTAGATAAAATGAAACCTTCAGAATCAATGACAAAAAAAAAAAAAAAATTCTCTATTTATTCTGTAGTTTTGCAAGAAAATCCTCCAGAAATGCATTTTTGGGAGGGGATAACATAGCCTACATAATTTTTAATATGTTTTCATCACCACAATTTTGTTGTGTTAATTAATTTTAACATTAGGACAAGATAATGAGGAATAGGTACTCACTGCTGTTATGTAAGTATTTCAAGCAGCTGTGGTATTGTGATCAAGTTTAAGCAAACTTTTATATACAGAACTCTGTTAACTCCTAACACTTTAATTTAATGAACTGTACAGCAGTAAAGAAAGATGTGTATGATCCAATGAATCGTGTTTTGTTTGGATACCTTTTTCTTCCCAGCAGGAATAAAGGCTGTATAATATTTTGGCTTCAAAGGCCTTTTTGCTTTCATGAGATGGTTATTCGAACATGCTGTTTTCAGAATCCATTGTAGTAAAGAAAGAATCTATTCAGTAAAGAAGCCAAACCAAATTTGCAACAAACCTTGCATTGAGGAAATTATCCAGAACAAAAATAATGCTAAGTGATATGGCTTTTATAGAAGAGTACTATATTTTGTTATTAATATGCAATATGCATTTGAAATTACCTACATACTAAAAAAAATTTCTACCCTTTATTTTATTAATAAATGCAAGCATCGCTTTTTACTGATCTATTTATTTATGTACATATGTCTGACATTTGAATTTGCTTAGATTGTTTTGAATTATAATGTTATATATATATATATATATATATATATAGGAAAAGGAATTAAGAAAAAAATTTTTTAAATATAAATATTATCTAAACAAAAAAGAATAATTGTACTTTTGCAGTAAAATTATGTGATAATTATGTTATATTCAATACAAAAATTATAGCGTTCCAAAATAGTAGAGCATGCAACAGGGAAAACTTAAGAATCAGTGAAAACAATTTTTAAAACTAAAGCAAAAAGGAAGAAGTCAAGACCAAATCATTAGAACAGTCAGACTGAAATATCTTTGATCTTGTCAGGGTGGATGGACATAAATAATTCAGTTTCTCATTCTAATTAAATAGTAGCTAAATCAACATTTTTGACACTATGCCATTTTTAAACTGCAAAATTAAGTCGGAACAGTTGCATAGAACCATCCCCTATGCTGATCTAATATATAATAATCAAAAAAATAAAAGTAAACTTTAAAAATGAGCAAAATTCACAAAAAAATGTAAGTGCATAAATCAAATAAATACATCCAAATGTACAACCCGTAAAGGCTTAAACAACTTTTCCCTATGTGGAGTATCAATAAACTCTAAATATGTAGTTAAAAAATGCCAAATAATGAAACAAAGATGGCAAAGCATGCCTATACAATAAAAATAATTTACATAAAGGGCAAATAAAAGTATAATCACTAAACAAAAAAGGGGAAAAAAGTAAAATTTACCACTACTTTGGTCCAAGTTAAAATAAAAGCATTAGGTAAAATGTAAAAATAGTGTGTTCCTAAGTGAATAGATAGTTTAAACTTTGTCTGTTTGGCATGCTGGAGAAAGTAGGGATGGAGAATGATTATAAGCAATCTATGAATCAGAGAGAAGCTTTAAAACAAGGGGATGTAAGCCAAATGCTGTGACTATTAAAATAAAAATGGTGGAAGTTTTTAATTACTTATTGTGGGTTTTTATTTAAGTCTTTTCACTAAGGTTTTATAATTTCACTTACAATTTTTTGGATTATGTGCTCTTAGTTAAAAGGTAAAATTTTGATTTGAATTTTTCATTAAAGTATTTTATTATTTCACTTACAGTTTTAATTGTTTGAATAGAAATATCTTTATTCAAGATTGTGATTTGAATTTACTTTGTTTTTTTTCTTTCTTTGTGGAGAGGCCAGAATTTTTGGGTGAACTATTATTATTAAAATATATTGAAATGGTTCAGCGGCTAATTCTGGATACAGTAAAGCAAGTATTTTTGTGGGAGAGAGATTTCAATTGATTTCAGTGTTCCTCCTCCTGGCGAAGTGACATTGAGGTTGATTGAATTCCTCCTCTGTTACATTCTTTTTCCTTTAAACTCATTGATTTTTTGAATTGCTGTATTGCTTATTTGAAAAGTTTTGGTTTTAACATTTATTAAATTCTTTATTGCATTTATAGGATTATTTGGAATTTATTATGAATTTTAATTTTTGGTCTTTGTGAAAAATTGGTTCTAAATTTCTTACTTTATGTCTTTACTCATAATTTTTCTGCAGCTTAATGCACAAAAATTCTAGGCAGGATTATATTTTGTTTTTAAAGAAATTGTTTTGTAATTATATATATATATATATTACACACACATGTGCATGGTATCGTGGAAAGAATGACGCATATGCCTAAAATCAATGTGTTTATTCCGCTGTGGTTTATATACCTAGGAAGGAGAGCTCAGTATGTTTTGTTCACAAAAAGACTGGAGCAGCGCAGACTTGACCTCTTTAGATTTGCATGTCTGAATTACGAAAGTGAAAGAACAAGATCCCACCGAAGATGCTTTTGAATACATAGAATGAGATATTGTCTAGAAATAGTTCAAACTACAAATAGAGATTTACTAAAACTTTTTTAGTTCTTTCTAGCTATATAAACCACATGCAGTAACACATTAATTTCAGATATATGTGTCTTTTCTTTTTCCATCAGATCTTTCCCACACTATATAATTTTTTATAAAGCAGGGGCAAAGATATGTGTACAGTAGAATTGTTATCTGTGTGACATGTTCTTTTTTCTAGAGCAAGTAAGGGGGGGGAGGAATTTTCCTTCAAATTGTATGTCAAGTGAATTTTCCTCACCATTTAAAATTGAAACCCTTTTGCTGCAACATTTGCGCAGTTGAAAGACTTGTTTTTCCAAAATAATTTTACAGCAAAATGGCTTAACAAGAAGGCAGCCATTTTTTAGAGTTAAATAAGTATTTATAAATAATTATCTGAATTGTTGGCCCTAGTACTGTAACTTTGTTTTTCACAGGATAAAATTTTTATTCTCATACATTTTTCAATATTCTTCTTTTAATCTTAAAAACACTTTGTATATATGTTATTTAGGCTATATTTTCAAATATTTTTGTTGTTTGGTTAAATAACCAATACACAAATGTGTATTCTTTATTATCTTAATTGTTGGTGATTTTGTCAAGAAGGCATACCCCTTAAAAAAATGAGCCCTTTTTCTATGGCATCAACAATAATTATTAGTTTTTTATAAAACGAATCTTTAAGTGACTTCTCTGTTGCAGTAGTTTTCCAATTACAACAGTTTTTGCTCTTCTATTAATGACTAAGAAAACTGACCTAAATATATTTTATGTGCAGTATTTGAAAAATGTTACTGAATTCTATAAGTAATATACTGTCTAGAATGTAAGGTGACTTTTTCTCCCAATAAAACATCCTTTTAAATATTACAGATGATTCATATATGCAGCATAACCTTTTAAAAATGCATTGAAATAATTATTACTCAGCATTTTAAGTTTTACATTAAAAGAAATTAAACTTTTCTTTCTTTCTTTTTTTTTTTTTTTTTTCCTCTCTCTCTCTCTCTCACTCAATGTATTTATGTATCCAATTATACTTAGGGCATTATCCATGATACACTCATAAATAGCGATCCTTATTTAGCGAGCAGTAGCAAATAGCAAATTCAGTAGCCATTAGTACTGATGGTGAAATAACTGAAATTAGCTAATCAGGCAGGACTATTTAATAATGCAAAATGAAGTAATTAGGGGTGAAAAAATAGGTCTTGCCACAGAGTTCTAAAGATTATTTTGAATTAAGGAGATGGAATTATTTGATTTCTGCTTTCATGAAGGTAGTTTTTTTAGTTATGTGCTCTGCAATTAGTACTTACAATCTATAATTCTGAATATAAACTATACTGACAGAAATTATTTAAATTCAAATTATCTGTTCTTTATAAACAAGCAGAAGATCTAATCACTAGCAATAAAAATTAGCAAAAGCAAAAAAAATCTCAGATAAAATGACAACTTATCTGAAGTGTGCTTCCACAGTAATTCAAAAAGATCAATATGGAAAGAAAGCCATAAAATGATAGAAAATGAACACATTTCGATTAAAATATAAATTTAATTTAAAATAATGAAATCTATTGTAACATGCAGAGAGATAAACTTTAAATATAATTAGCGTTCAAAATTTGTTTGATTTGAACAAAAGACAGAGGTAAATGAGTGCTAAAAATCCAAACAGGAAAAGAAAATTATAAACTTACAAGGATGAAATATGTTTCAGTTGAAAAAAATAAAACAATATTTTATTTAAAAAAAATAGATTCATAATCTGACATAAATCAAATACATTTTAAGAGCACTAATTGCTCAAAGATTGGTGATTTAAATATAGTGTGTAATTACAAAAGTTAGTTTTTATTGGCTTTGATCCAGTAACTCCGTGCTCCATAACAGATAGCTAGAATTATTGAAACATCTTGTACGCAAATTGCATGCAAAACGAGCTAAGTACTAAATGCATCCTGAATAAACATTCCTGTAATAAAATGGAGATGCAGAAAATTCAGAATTTCATGGAATAATAACTAGAGCATTAGGAACAGATGGAAAAGCAATGATATACCAAGTTTTCAAAATTAAATTTAATGACGAATATGGCTGTCAAACAATTTTATTGTTTGTATGATATTAAAATCTGTATGCAAATTTTAAGGTATGAAGTAATTAGGATAATATTTTAATGCATTTTAGAATTTAATGAATAGATGTGGAATACTAAATAATACTAAATAAAATACAAACAATTTTGAATGTTATGTTTAGAATTCTAATTTACACGTTAAATGTCCTGTTACCCATAAGTATTAGTCAATGTGGTAAACTGCACTTTTTTAAATAAAATACGTAAACAAATACAAAGGAAAATTTTTAAAAATTTTCTTTCATGGAAGTTTCAGAAAGGTATTAAACTATAAAAGATATATAGCTTGATGATCTCCAATTATGGTTTTTTTCGTCTGAGATATTGGTTACTAAAATATGCCCTAATTTTAGGCATTCTTGAAAATCAAAAATTTTTATAACAGATGTTAAAAAATTAAGAGTACTCTCTGAACTTTGAACACTTTCTTGCAGTACAGAATTATATGAGAATTTCTACAAAATACTATTTAGCTCCACCTTGAACATAAATACATTGGCTATTTTATCTGTACAAAAAACATACCTCCAGGCCTTAAATTTAGCAATCAGCAACTGAATTTAAAGATCGTATTTAATAACTGTGGTGAGAATACCAAAATGGCATATTTAACGTCTCATAATATCCGAATACTATGATTTATTATTCATTTAATGTCATCTTTAAAAATGCCTTAGATCACTTAATTATCTCATTTTTGAATACAGAGGGTGTTCACACATTTTTGTTATGATTTGGCAAAGATTTATATAAACAAACCTTAGAGTTTTATTTTCTAATATGTTCAGTCTGATAGCCCTTTTGGTGAACTATCATATTACATCTTGATTTCCAAGATAAAAATCCTTTTCTTAAAACATCAAGGTTGATTTTATCCCATTCCTCCTTCACAATCCTCCAGAGTCCATCCAACTAGTTTTAAAAGTCCACATGCACAAGAGTAATAGGAGACACATCAAGGAACTTGGATGCATTTAAATAGAAAAGCTTCAATTCCGGTTTCATTTCTCATTTTTTCAAAAAAAGCAGTAGATTTAGAGGTATGGCTTGGAGCCATATCTTGATGAAACACAGTGAAGATTGTTTGGATAAAGAGATGGAATTTCTTCTTTAAAAATAGGTGTTAAAACATATTTCTGATAGTAATCCGAGTTAATTTTGCCATTTCTTTCTACTTTTCTTAAGTTTTTTGTTATAAGAAAATCCAGTAATAACCATAAAAACCTTTAGAAAAACTTTTCTTGTTTTCTCTGAACCAACACATTAAGTCTTTTTCTCCTCTTTTTTCGGGAGTAATTTGATCTTCTATTGCAATCAGATAAGTATATCCAAGCCTCATCAAATGTAAACTCTATATTTCAATTTTTCACCAGCCAAATAATTTTCGCGCAGCACTCTGCACATAGTCTTACGCTGAGAAACATGTTTTGGCGTTCGGCATTGAGCATCTTTTTTTCTTTTTTTTTTTTTTTTTTAATTAACTTTAAATCAGATTTTATAATTTTGTTCACAGTTCCTACAGAGATATTTAAAGATTTTTCAATAGCTCTTTTATGGTCTGGGTTTTCCTTTAAAAAATGAGATGTGATTTTAGATTTAATAAGAGCTGTACGTACCTTTGTTGGGTATGTATTTTTTGCCATTTTCCCAGTCAAATGCAAATGTAGATGTTAATTTCCTTTCATATTAATTATGTCACTTATTTTACATGTAGAAATATTAAACCCATGCTTATCACATCTTTTTTTTAATAACTGAATAGAAGTATTTCTCTTTGGACAGCACAAAAATATAGCCTTCGATTCATTGTTTATTTTTCAGCGACATTTTAAAGAAAAGAATAGTTTTAATGCTGCAGATGATAATTAAACCTTATTCCAATTTGATGTCTATCATGTTTGTATTTTTAAATTAATATTTAAATTCAATTATCAAAAATGAAAAGCGTTACAAAAGTGTGTTAACACTCTCTGTAAATGAAGCCACCTCATATGAACCCTTTTTTTTTACCTTGAAAACAAAGGGTTATCTTAGATGTGAAGCCTTCTTATTACAGCCAGTATATTTTTTTCTTAGCCATTTTGAAGAAAGTATTATTTTAAATGTTTTAAAACACCGATTTGCTTAAAATACAGGCAAAATGTTTTTTAACCCAGTATTACAAATTACTTAAACTATAAAAGCTAATAATAATGTGTCTCTCCCAGCTAAAAATGAATGTTATATCTTTATTTTCATTTAGGGTCCTAATTTTGCATCCCCCAAAAAAAGAAATATTTCTGAAAAGGAAAAAATTTATTCAGTAAGTTATTTTTATATCATAAATTATGTGTGGTAGGTTAAAAACTTAAGAAGTGTATATGTAAGAGAGAATTTTTCTATTGTTAATTTTTATTAATTATTTTTTATTGTTATTATTCCATTATGATTTATCCATTTCACTGAAATGCCAATGATTATAAATTATGGAGTGCCTATGGTTCAAAACCATGTACCTCCACATTAGAAAAATATCTAATTAGTGAGCAGAAATAGGAAAGTTGCATAAATAGTTGAATTGATGCAAACTAGAGGGAGCCATATTAGTTCGAGAAAGTCACGGACGTAGGAAGTAAGATGGAGTGGCCCTAACCGGTTTCCTCCATACACTGCTTTGAAGCACTGACAATCCCATCGTGGTGACCAAAACATTGGGTCATTTACCACTAAGTTCAATGAGTTTTGACACAATCGGATGTAAATATTTTGTAATTGCATCATAAATATACACATGAATACATATATTTTCTTTTTCTATAATATTTCAAAGTTCTAACTATATGAAAAGAATAGATTTTTAAACAACATTTCATTCTGAATGGAATTAAATGCTATACTTTTTACAGAACAGTGCTCAGAGCAGTTTAATTTGAATGAAATATTTTCACAAGTTTTCGTTAATTACATTAGAAAAAAAATTTTAAGGTAATTCAATTTTATTCGGTTAAGGATTACAAAAATTAAGATCAAAGTTTATTGTATTATTATTTAAAATTATGCATTATTTCTTTCTATTTATAGAAATTATCGTAAAATACTTTCTCAAATATGACATGAATTTTTAACTGAGGCATCTTTTAAATCAAAAAGTTTAAGTCTATTTATAATTAATGCTCTATTCAGTTCATTTCAAATTAGAGTACCTTTTATTTTAATAGGGAAATACATTAAATAGTTCAGTCAAAAGTCATTAATCCGGACTCGTCAGGACTTCTGCGATCCCGGATTATCGATTTTTCCATATTATAGATCATCAGTTTAAATCTCGTAAGATGGCATGCAGAAATTCTAAAATTAAAAATATGAAACCGTAATTTATGAAATAAAGAACAATTATGATCTAAAGGGTATCAAAAATTTACAAAAAAAAAAAAGCTTAATATTTATTGTTTACTTTATTAAACATTTCTTTCAATTTAAGTTGTTTAAGTTGCTTCATTTTATGTGATAATACTTTCTCTTTAATTCTATAAAAAGACATAATTTCTTGTTCAGTTACAAAGTTCCGCTGTTCAAGTCCCGTAATTGCTGTGCCGAGAATACCGACTAACTTGTCAATCGAAATTTTTTCATTTTCACTAACCTCTCTGTCACCTTCTTCATGTCATTATCCATTTTTTGCAGCAATTCCACTTTTTGTTTGATGTACATGGTTTAGGAGCTCCAGCATCGGAAATTCTATTTGACATAATCGAAAGTTCAAGTTTACTTTTATAAAATTGCTCTTACAGTCTGCAAAAAATAATAAGCCGCATCCAATTCGAAGATTAAGGAACAATGCAATCGTCAACATTAACTGAAATAGATAATTAGATAATTTTAGCTTATACCGTCAGTTATACATTAAACGTGCACGCTAAAACATATTCTGCACTTGCGCACATGCATATGCGCAGTCATAAAGGTCTTACGCGCACGCGTAAACGCCTATGCGCATGTGTCAATGCGGCGCATGGGCAGAAAGTTTTTAGCTTTGAGGTCCGAATTAACGATCCATTCCCGATTATGGGTGTCCGAATTAATGACTTTTGACTGTACTTAACTTTCTCTGAATATTTCTGAAAGGGAATAAAAAGACTTTTTTTAAAAAATATTGTTTAAAACTTGTTACTGAGTTATTATAAAATGTAAGGGGAATAATTCTTTTAATTATACTTATCAGATTTTTTTACCCTTAATTTCAACAATACATATTCTAAAACTCTTTCTTAAAACTTTCTTAAGTTTCTTAAGTAACAGATTGCTTTCCATTACGAACAATCCTTGCTTAAATAGTTGTCAACAGGATTTCAATTTATGTTTACAATTCAATGCTTATGTTATTATATATTTAGATATTATTTATAATCCTTATAAATTTAGATACATTTAATATTAGATTTTTTCACAGTAACTTTCACAGGTGTTTATGAATGAATAAATCCTTCATTTCAAATAATATATAAACAAATATAAATAATTTAATAAATATTTACGTATTTTGTTAAAGGCAGATACATGCTTTGTACAAGCATATGCATAAATACCATACATATTTCATATTTTTCATTTGTGGCATGTGCAAATCTTTAATTTCTGTGCATTCACTATATTTTCGATGTAAAGTAATTTACAATAATTTAGCATATACCCGAAATTTTTACATAAGAAATATGTATAAATATAATTTGAATGAAAATTACATGCATTATTTTTAATACCCACTCAAAGGTCGGTTTTTCTTTGAAATTCCTCCACAATGGCATCTCTTCCTTTAGGCAGATAGCCCTTGCATGCCTTACTTTATTTAATAAAAACCTAATCTGACTTATGTGCCTAATTACAAATATTTTAGCATGCATAATTTTATATTTACATTTAGCCATCAAGTTTCAAACTTTTGACTTAAAACATGTTTTAGGATACATTCATCATCAAATTCAAATCTTCTAGTAAATATATTTTGGCAGAGCACTTAATATCTCTTTTAGCGATTTTATATAGTTTAATAATTCTCTGATAATATGATAAATAATAACAAAGCCTTAACTAATTAAGACTAACTAACTAATAATAACTAAAACTAACTAATAATAACTAAGACTAACTAATAATAACTAGACTAACTAATAATAACTAAGACTTGCATGGGAAACATTTAACAATCTGGAAACCATTCAGAATAAGAGGACCATTCAAGATCAGACCTCCCTTGGCAGGATACACAAAAGTTTTCACCTCCAATTACACATTTCAATTTATGTTTTCAAATTTTTAATAAGCTGTCTTGATGATGTGGCACATTCACATAGTCACATTATCTTGACTGCACGCGTTGTAATTCTGCTGAATTTGCAAATGTATTTAACTTCTGTTTCCACACATTTGTATAAAATTTTATATAATTTTACACAAATGTGTGGTTACAAATCAAGGAAAAGTTAACTTATTGGCATATTTGTGTGTATATTTATTAATTTTGAGAAGGCTTGCAGCATTTGATGGTAATTTTATTTTTTAATTAAATGTGCAAACCCAAAGTGATTATTTTTAAGTTGTATAAAAATAAAATGATAAGTTTAAAGTGAGCAACTATAAAGCCGCTCCTCTAAAAATTTTTAAAAAATACATGTCACAATAATATGTAGATGACAGAAAGAAGTACTTAAAACATTTTGACATGTGGAATATAAAATAAAAGTAGCGAATACTGTATGAAGAGTATTGAAAGATGTGTAGGTACCATAAGGTATTTTTCATTCTTTAAGCATAACATTTTTGCTAAAATCTATATTTTTGTAGCTCAACAGCTTAGAATTTTATAAAACAAATTCATAATCAAAATTGCTGTTGTTAGTTATTGAAAAATAACCAAGATGTGATTTTTGCATAAATGTCACTAAACTATACAAATTGCTATTATCCATCACACAATGAATTTTTCTTTTATGCGGAAATGTCCCGTTTTTCAATTTGTATGGAACTGTTGTGTGTGTGAAAATATTATCAAAGTGCTGTCAAAGGAGCTTCTGAATGTAAACGAAAAACACCCCATCTGGAGACTGAAGCCTCGGAAGAGTAGCTTTACGCCATTTTCCATGTACCTATAACTATGATCAGCGGTCATTTTGACTGCTTGTTCCAAATAGAAGAAAAGGCTCGCCTTTTGTTTATATTATGTAAAGTTAATGTTTATAGAGATACATTTTGCTTATTTAATAAGTAAATAAAGTAAACTGACTAAATATGGGCAACCAAAAGGTAATTCAATGTAGCAAAGAGCAAAATAAAGCAAAGCGAGTAAATATATTAATTGAAGGATAATTTAATATAACAAAGTGAAAAAAATCACTCTAGGTGTTTTTAAACTTCTTATCATTTAATAAACTGCCTCATAAAAATTTTTAATATGAAATAATATATTAAAAATTACACATATTAGTACTTACATTACTGGGTTTTGTAGTGCGTGCAGATTACTAATTTTTTAATTTTACCTGTACAAGTTTCACAAACATATTTTTTACAGTTTTCATACGTATTTCAAGTTTTGTTGCCTCCCCATGCATTTATTTAGCATTGTTTATGCTTATGAGAAGGGATGATGCAAGTATCAATTATCTTCTTGTTAGATACAGAAAGTTTGTAAATTTTGGATGAAATGTAAATCTTTTTATGCTCTTCAGCCATATTCAAAATAAAATCACAAAGCACTTATATTCTTGTATTCAGTTGTTATATTCTTGTATTCAGTTGTTTCCTTGTAAATATAATTGTTTCCTTGTAAATATAATAAAATCACAAAGCACTTATATTCTTGTATTCAGTTGTTATATTCTTGTATTCAGTTGTCATATTCTTGTATTCAGTTGTTTCCTTGTAAATTATCCATGTATTTATCATGGTCGAATCAAGAATATTTTTTTAAAAACCTTGAATTGGCCAACAGCTGGATGAGGACTTCACTGAGTATTTTCTGGCTATCGGGTCCAAAGCATCAGCTCCATGTTTCGTAGATGTCAAAATTCACAACTGTCTGTTTATTTTTTACACCAGATGCAATTTCCATCCAATGTTGGGTGCATGGTAGTTAGGAGTAGGATGTTCTTTTTTTTTCCCCTCCGTCTATACTTAGCAATGAACAGAGCTCATCCCTCTTATTTTTGAAAGAATAAAGTACTTCACTTGTTGAACGATTCATTGTGTCAATGCAGCTTGTCCCTGAATTTCTCATTTCTTTTACTAATTTCAGTGGCTCCATCAATCAGAAAGCTTCATGTTCATCAACTCTTTCACCATCTGGTCTTGTTTCGTCTTTTTCCAAATAGGGAAATGCCTTAAATACATATTTTGACTGCACATCAGTAGCAAGCCAAAATTTAATGCCGAATTCATCTGGCTTTTTATACTGAGTAAAATGGCATCGGTCTTCATGGGAAATAATTGTTTATCCCGTGTTTATATTTTTACCCGGTTTACAATGTTTAAGCAGCTTTCTATAAAAGCATTCTAGATATACAAAACAAGGGCAAATGGATCAGTTTGCTGTCTTTGAGATCTTGATCTAAATTTTTGCTTTCCTTTTCTGTTTCATGACCAGGTTCTCCATCAGATGAATCGGATTCACTGGTTTCAGTAGAAACAATCCAGTCATTGTTGGATAAACTGGATATACTTTCAGAATGAAATTTTTGATCAGGTTCAGTTTCTGAAACAAAATTATCATAAGAAAAACTTTCAGCTTCCCTTCCTTCATTAGATATTTTCTACCAACACTTCAACGGGGCATGATAAACAGGTCAGAACAACAAAAACTATCCAAATGAAGTAAAGTACATTTGTGTCTACTGAAAAATAAACTTTGTAACACAAGTGAAATGCACACAAAATTTCCAAACAGGTGTTTTTATTCCCCCTCCTCCACTCACTTCTGTGAAATATGCAATCTTCCTTTCAAAAAGTACACTTGTTTACCTATCAGCATACTGGAAATATCTAAAAAAGCTCATAAAATATTAAGAAATCTATAATTTTCTGGATGCAGTCAAAATGACCGATAGCCATAATTCTAGGTATAAACAATAATATTAATGGAAATAATTACTTAAAATGAACAAAAAAAATGTCATGTAATATTCATAAGTTTATAGAAAAAGTCAAAAAATATCAAAGAAGTAATAAAGGATTTTAAAAAAATATGTCCAATTAAAATGAAGATACGGTTTTCCATAGTTCTAGTGTTAATAGGCGCATTTGCATATGGCGCTAAATAAGAGCATTCCATTGATTTGCAGTTTAATCTTTGCTGAGAAGCATTTTTAAATGTATCAGGTGGCTGAATGTATAATGATCTGGATACTGGAATTCAACCGAGGTTAAATTTTGTGTAAACAGGTTTGCTATGTAGTGTTTTCATAGGGTCCCCCCTTCTGATGAATGAACCTGATTACAAGCCAGTTTCTGATATAAAGTTTTCCACAGAGGCATCCCAGCCTTACATACTTTGTTGTAACCAGTTAAACAACAATCAATAACTATTGCTTCTTGTATTCCTTCAGTACCAACTATTTTATCATGTGATTCCTTCAGGGCCATATATTTTATGGTTAAAAAATGTGTGAGGAGTGTTTTTTGTTTAGAATTGTCAATATTAAGTTCTGTCCCACAGAAATTTGCACAACATTGAAGTATATTTATAGCAATAACATATTTGTAATGCTGGAAGCCTAATTTACAATGCATTAAATATATACTTAAACGTTTTTGATAATTAACATTGAAAATTATTTTAAAAAATCTGTAGTGATATAAAAATAGAAAAAAATTAGCTTTAGATTCTAGTCTGTATATATCCTATTCATGACATTATGTTTTAATTTTTATTCACATATGCAATTCTAATAATTAATTAAAAATTTATTTCATGGATTGTGATTTTTTTTTAAGCATTAAATGCCACAATGTTTATTGAGGTAAATAAAAATGTGAGCTTTGAAGCTTTTCCAAGTCCTATTGTTTTCCTGATTCTTTGTGCACTGATATCAAAGATTTTTTATATTTTATTGACAAAGTAAAAAATTATTAAATTCTACCTAAAAATCATTCATGAAGGAGAATCTTGATGACAGTGGAGTAATAGTTTACAGTTGAAAAATCTAATTTTTATTGAAGTAATATATATTTAAGTATTTTTATTAATGTTAATGAGCCTCATAAGAGGACTTCACAGCTTTAAACATTGGCTCCTTAAACCTCCTTAAACGAGCCTTTTGTATACATTTTTTTAAAAAATTATTTGTAATTTTGTCTATTGTAGAATATTTTAAAAGTTTTCTTTATATTACACTGCATTAGAAATCTTTTGTCATTTATTAAAAAATTATGAAGCTAATTATTTTATACTGATTTTAGAATTGGAGTGTGGATGATCTGCAGAAAAGAATTCAGTCTCTGAAGGAATCTCTCAAATTAAAATCGCTCCATTTGAAAAAAGAAACTTCAGATGAACCTTTGGCAAGCTGTAGTAAATGAATTATAATGATAATGATTTTTAATATCAGTTGTTCAAATTGGATTATGAAACATGTCAATTTTGCTTCAAAATTATGATATATGCTAGGGGAATTATAATGTTCTACATTATAGGAACTGCATTATGATAAAGTAATGTAGTCATATTCATTGATAAGAATTCTTTGTTAATGAAAATACAGAAATTCCTCTATTTGTGATTCTTTATCAGCTTATTTTGATATGTATTGTAATACAAAGTAAATATTTTATTTATCAAAACAGAGGTATAGGATTATTAATGAAGGATTCATTTTAATATTTAGTCATGAAATGTGAAGTAATCATTTCTTATAATTCAGACTTATGTTCCAAAATCCTATAAAACAGCAGATGTGACTTCTTTCAGACTTTCAATATTCCAGATAAATTATTATTTGATTGTAGTTACCAAACGTGAATGTCTTTTTCATCAGTATAATATGTATATTTTATGCAAAACATGTAAAATATTATATTATTAATTCTTATGCATTTCTTTGTATATATTAAGATTTATCATCTATAAAATTTTTGTACTTCTGAAAGCAGTTATTGCATATGTGTTATTTTATTGATTTTTGAGAATTTCATTCATCTTATGAAAAATTTTCTGCCAAATTTTACTTTTCCATTATCCAAATGAATACAACCAGGAACAATGGCAGTTAATTCCCCTTAGTTTAATGAATTGAGCATATTGTGTTTCCATGGTTGTCTTCATGACTGATGCAAGTGTGGGCCAGTTTCTTTATTAAAGAAATTCTCTCACCTGAGGCAGCTCTGAGTAACTATACCATAATGAATCAATTAACCAAGTATCTATCAAATTTATGAAAAAATGTGAAAAATTCAAAGTAAAAAATCATCTTCAGTTGAACTTAATATTTTTAATAAGATATTTTTTCATGATATCAGCATTGCTTTCTATGCCAGACTTTAATATTGGTAACTTATTGAAGTTTATTATTGTCATTAAACTCTAGAATGAGAGAGAAATAATGGAAATCAGGAAACAGAATTAACCTTTTTATGCATTATTTGATTTTTTAACTTTGATATAAAAGGTGGTGGAGTGTCACAAATAATAATCTATTTCTTAAAATTCATTCCTTGTGATTTCAATTACCAATTATGTATACGATATCAATCACTTGTAGAGACATTAGGTTTTTTTTTTTTTTTTTTTTTTTTTTTTAAAGCAGACAAGATGAAAAATATCAAACGCCTTCACCGGGAATCAAACCACGGACCTCTGGAATACCGGCCCAGCGTGCTACCGTTACACAACGAAGGCACGCTAGGGAAGTGGGAGAAATACCTAATACACTAGCTGGAACATTTAGGAATGGTTTAATTTATATAATTTTTGTAAAAGGGCAATTCTTTTTGTATATGCTGTAAGCAAATGGAAATAGTTATAAAATTTGATAATCTTTGAATCAAGATTCAGAATTGCAAGAATTTGTAAAAAGATAATACATAAATAATATACAGTGTATGTGATGTATAGGGTGATATTATTTTGCTTAATGTGAAACTCTGTGGGATCCTCTGAATTATTTGGTATGTCATTATGTGTTTTTCTGTCATGATATTGTTACTATTTCATTAATAGTGATCTTTTTAGATCGGCTTTTAAATTATGTAAAGCTACATGTTATAGCTATCATGTGCAATTATTCATTCTGAAGAGTAATATTGATATACAAATACTGTGCTAAATATATGAATGTAGAAAATTAAGAGTGTTTTTTATCAGGAGCTGAGTGAATAATATTTTTCAATTATATTTTGATTTTGATAATTTAATTGTATGATGCTGCTTGTTATATAACAAAGGTCAGCTTTATATTTTTGTAATTTCATTTTGAAAGAATACATTTTGAGGAAATGTATTGAAATTAACAATGAAAATAGCACTAAATTTTTCTTTTTAAAAGTTTTATGAATTTTTTGCATTTATTAATAAATAGAGCTCTGTAATGAAATTATGTGTCTTGGTGTGAGTATGAACAGGTTTGGTGAATGTTTGGCATTTGCTGATTCTTTTAATGGTGAAATCTTCTTGCAAAGAACCAGATCAGATTGGAATATCTTGTTGCAATTCAGTTTTCAACTACAAGTACCTGTTATTTAGGAGAACCTAATATTTATTGAGTGGAAAGCTGTTGTGGATCTCTACATTTAGTTCTTTGAAAGGAAATTATTAATTAAAAAGTTTTTCAGTACTGTTCAAAAGGATTGCATCTTTCTTTTTAATTCAGTTATATGTGTTTTATTCAAACTTTCCTTTATAATTACTTAAAAGGTTTATTATACAGAAAATGTATTATGTTTAATTACTTCAAGAAAAGCAAAAGAGACCTGACCCCTTTATTGTGAGATGATGAAATATAAAATTACATGGCAAGAATAATTTTTATTTCAGTAGTTATATAATCATGTTTATTTTTTTAATCTCCTTTCTCATATCAAGTTTTGCATTTAATCTCTCTGTTGTCGTGTATCATATGATACACCTGAGTTTGTTTTGTATGATCACTGATATAGGGATGAAAAATCACAATTGATATTTGATATGTTGAAACAAAGTTTTTGTTTGAATTTATAAAAGTGAATATGAATAGTGTTAAAATGCTGTGAAACTTTGAATAGAATGGCTTGAATATTAATCATGTTGCTAAGTATATTCATTCTTTTGCACTATGAATGTAAAACGCACGATGTAGAACTGTTACAAGTTTACAAATATTTCACATTGTGAAAGTGTTTTATTATTTGCATATAAATGTAATAGTACATAATATGCATTGGCATTTTTGTTTCCTGTGTCATTAATAATAGAAATAAATTTAGTGTATAAATGTAATCATTATTAAAACTTTTGCTTTTTGTCTATTTTTTATTTTAATTGTATTAATCAGGGCTTCTATTTACTTATGAAAAATATAAGCAGTATGTGTGTGTATGCAGACATTTTCATAAAAAGCAGTTTTCATAGAAATTTCTTTAGCATGTTAGATTTACTTATGAAAAGTATTTGAGTGGACAGTGTTGTTCAGCACTTCAAGGTCATGAATATTTACTTCATTTCAAATATAAAATTCTTTTTTTTGGGGGGGGGAGAAGAAAAAATACATTGAAAATAATGTGCATATTTATTCAAATAACATTGAAAGAAAAGAATAGTTAACATATACACATTCATTTCACTTATATTTACATTGTAAATGTTAGTTAATGGTAGAGCCATTATTCTGAATTTTAAAAGCTTTTCATAAATAAAATTAATACAAAATATTTAACATAAATATTTTTGCCAAAAATTTTCTTGCATATGCAAATATTGTATAAGCATATTCTACATTTGTACACTGCAACCAAGGAAGACTTAATAAAGATGATGAAAGAAGATTGAAAATATGAATTTGTTGGTGAAATATATAGCAATACTTTTACTCAAAAAAACTAACAGATTTCTTCTTTAGAACATTCTTTTGAACTCTTGGATAGTGTCCTTTCCTATTGGGGGGGGGAATCTTTTTTAAGTATTACAGAAGTTATTTTCTGGAATAATGGGATTTATAATCCATATACAGATATAATTCTGATCTGTTTACATTCTGTAGTAGACTAGAAAAAAATTTTTTGAAATTGCCTTCAGTCAATCACAGATTTTTATAAATTTTTTACATTAAATGCTTAAAACATTCTTGCTGTTAATTTTTCTTAATATGCTTTAGCTACTTTTTACCTGATGTTATATATAAGTTTACTGTTTTTTTAAACAAGAAACTGATATATAATTATTTACATAAAACATAAGTACTTATTATATTTTGTAATTATTATTATGGAATACAATTGCTGATTTTTTCTAATTTTTAGTTAGCTACTTGAAAATAGTTTTCCTTGTAAGTATTCAGAATTGACATATTATCTTGGATATTTTGGCACCATCACTGTATTAACATGTTGAAAAAACTATTATGTGATTTTGTGTTAGGTACTTTGATAGTAGTTTTCACAGGTTTTCTTGGCATTATCATTGCATTAAAGGGAGAGAAAAATGCTATGAAATTAGGTAATGCCCATCCATTTTCTTTCACATTTCTTTCTTGCAAGATTTTCTTTGACAAATAACTGAAAAAAAAAACATTGTCATTGAACTTAGTTTAAGTTATGTATCTTAGTAATCCATGGCACAGTTTAAATCATTTTAACCACATTCCTCTTAGATTAAAAGGAAGGGCGAACAAGTACTATTGCACATAGCTTTTACTTATTCATAGTTATAATTAATTCTTCTTTCATTCATCTCCACTATCATTTGTATTTTGCTGACGAATGAACTTCCGATGTTCTTTCAAAACTTCTGGTTCATAGTTGAACATTTTTAATTTGACACAATCTGGATCTACAATTTTTTGTCCTTTATGTTTCATGCACATTTTAGCACATCTTGGTCCATTATAAAGACCTGGTTCCCAGTGTTCAACACACATTGCACAACTATTGAGACATAAGTAAAGTTTTGCTTTGTCTGTAGTTGTTGAATCTTTAGATGCATGTAACATATTAAGTAATAGCATCAAGCTAAATATGGAAGTCAGAACTTTAGATTCAAGATTCATTGTGTTCACACTTTCCTAAAAAGAGAAAATAAAATATTTTAAGTATAGAATAATATAAATGATAATTTTGTTTTCAAAGTAGGTTAGATTCTATAATGTTACGGAGCAGTTTGTTGTTCTTTTATTTTAAACAATATGCTAGATACAGTCAAAAGTCTTTAATTCGGACGTCCATAATCCGGAATGATCTATAATCCGAACCTCAAAGCTACAAACTTTCTGTGCATGTGTTAACGCATATGCATAATACCTTTACGCATGCGCGTTTAATGTATAACGGACGGTATAAGCTAAGCAAAAATTATCTAATTATCTATTTCAGTTAATGTTGCAGGTTGCTTTGTTCCTTAATCTTTCTAGTTGCAACTTTCTAATTTCGACTGTGCGTAATGTATGTTTTACGCATGCACCCGTTGAAAGAAATGTTTAATAAAGTAAACAAATAAATATAAAGCCCTTTTTTTTTGTAAATTTTGATACCCTTTAGATCATAATTGCTCTTTATTTCGTAAATTACGATTTCATATTTTTAATTTTATAATTTCTGAATGCCATCTTACCAGATTTAAACTGATGATCTATAATCCGGAAAAACCGATAATTCGGAATCGCCGAAGTCCCGACGAATCCGGATTAAAGATTTTCGACTGTATTCACTGTTCATAGCTACTTATGTCTTCATGTTATTTAAATTGTGGTCAGATTTATGAAAAAACATACTTTTTAAGTGAGTTCATTTATTAGAAGAACTGTGCATTAAATAATGAAGTTATAAAATACCTTCTTAATATGCCAAGTTTCTTGGTGTAATCTTTACAGAAAGCTTATAAAATAAAAAAATTACTTCACAAAGGAATTTTAATAGATTTGAAATAAAGATCTTTATAAATCTAAGACTAGTTATCTTAAAATTAGCTATTTGGAAAAATCTGGAAATGATGCTGAATTTTTTTTAGTCTAAAACCATATCTGTTAGTCTTTTTCTAAACTAAAAATAATTTGATAAGGTGGTATTTAAAAACTAATTATCAGTTTTCATAAGCTATATTTTTAATTTCGATCGTTATTTTATGTTTTTAATTTTAGTGACTAGAACATTACTTCAAATAAAAATATCTTTAAATTCCCTATCATCCATATATTAAAAGGATTATTTCATTCAATTCTCTTTAAATTTCGACGATGTACTTAAAAGTTACTTCACCATCAAAGTTTTATCTTTAAAATGCAATATTTTTGGCAACTTTTAGGAATCTGTAAGAACTTCCTCAAAATTTTTTAAAGTCTGCAACCAAAATTACTTATCAAGGAGAACGAATGGAAGAGCCAGACGTGAGAATTAAGAAAAAGTGCAGAACAGTGTGCTTTAGTTAGTTTAATGCAGTGGGCGTCACATGTGATCGCGGTTAGTGTTATCATTGGACTACTGTTATCAAATTGCCGATGCCCCTTCCATTTGTATATAAAAATAGAAAATACATCGTTTATTATGATTACCATGTTAGTTAATGCTATCAAAATATTATAGGATGTGTCTCTTAAACTGAAATAATGTTGCCAAATAAGGTTGAAATAGAGCAAAGAGATCGCCAAATGATAGATCTATGTCGTTAAGTAAAGGATTAAGTCGCCAAGCATCCTTTATTTTCATTTAAGGCTGCATTAAAGTCTTGAAACCGCGAATCAAAATGGGCAATAAACAGTTTTTAGCACGCCAGCCTTTTGATAAGTGATGAAAGAAGATTAAGAATTAAAAACCTCTCCAACTAAACATGAATTGTGAGGAATTTAATGCTTGGATGGTTATTGATGAAAACCTCTGGCTGCACATTCATTGACAGAAGAAGATATCTGCCTGTCGCTTTCGGAAATAAATCCAAGCAATCATATGATAAACTTTCTAAACAAAGTGATGACGAAAATCTGCAAATTTCTTACTAATACTGAGATGAGGATTGCCCTATAAGAATTAAAATTAGTGGTACAACATCGGAGAAATAATTTCCTGAAACATTATGAATGATTAAAAAAATGAACTGTTTTGTAAACAACCCATTATTAATGACTTTTTTTCTAATTAAAATGCTGTGGATGTAAATATTTACGTGATCCTAGTGATATTAAACCGGATAAACTCCATTGATACATTGAAGGATATTTTTAACATCGCGTAATGTTACCAAAATAGTCATTGACAAACGTGATCAGATTAAGTTGTGTAGTAATCAGATTAACTACTGTAGCGATTTTTACTTTTTGATACACTAGCCCCTTGCGCAGCTAGTCCCCTAAAGTGGTTAAATAAAAAAGAAAAAATATGTAATGATTTTAATGAGTCCAGCTATTGTAATTGCATAAAAATATATTTCTATATATTTATGTGCCAGGGAAGTTTCTGTAGGAAAGAGTTTCTAAATTACTTTGGTTTTCTACTCTTATTTATTAATTTTAATTCTACTCTTTTAGTTGCTAATTTCTCAAAATTCCACTTGTTTAAATTTCTTTTTAGTTATTCACCATATTTGGTATTACTTTTGGTTTTGATTTTTACCCTTGTCTTCATGAATGACGAAACACGAATTAAATGATTGAAGAGTTAGGTTTGGAGGCAACTTCCCTTGATACGTCTGTCTCGTACCTGCTTAACAATCAATCACTTATGCGTTTTTATAAATAAATTTCTTTTAGGATTAAATAATTTTTGGAATTTTAATTTTATATTTATTCATGGATTTTGATACTTGCACTTGATTTACTAATGCTCTCAGAATTTAAATGATATTGTAGATTAGTTCGCAACAATAATAATTTGTTTGAATTGAATTTCATTTAAATTTGCATTTTACGAATAGAGAATGTTTGTTAAATTATATTTCTAATTAGATATTTCATAATTAAAATGCTGATCTGTCTACTGTAAACAATTCTACTCTGTCCACCGAAATCATATTTGCAGATGCTTACTCCTCTATTTTACATAGCCTACTTGAAAATTAAACATAAAGAACTAAAGTAAAGGCGTCGTAAAAATTACCATAACAAAATTAGAACAATTTGTGCAGTGCGAAGCAAAAGGCACAACGTTAGTCAACTGGAAGTGAAGCTAAAAAAGATCGTAAACCTTCAACTCAGGCTCTGTTAAGAAGTATACCGGACATTCAAGTTCTTGAGGATATCGAAGTCGCTAGTGAACGCTTTTGAAGCTCTTGAGATAAGCCTGAAATTTATATTAACTTCATTTAAAACACATTGTGGTGCTTATGTAAACAGTAATTCTACGACAACTGAACAAACGGGAATTTCCGCTTCCCTCTTTTAGCGGTTTGTATTGTAGTAATTTTGCGAATTTTATAGCTCCATTAACAAATTTGATAATTAATAACGAGCAACTAGATGAGTCATAGAAATAAATAAAATGTGCTTTGAAAGGAGAAGCTAAGAATTTAGAATCCGATGATTTTGATTCATTGTTTCAAGAACTTGTTCATAAATATGAACATAAAACGTCTTTTAACCCGCGAGCGCACGCACTGGATCCAAATAACCCGCGCGGTTAAACAAACCTTCTCAAAGCACGCCTATTTTACGCAAATTGTTGAGTGCTTGAAAGTGTCGAGTGTAGTAGTGCTTGAAAGGTCATGTCTTTATGTTTCCGAACTTGTTTTACTGGGGCTTTGATTCGGAGTCTTGATTTTGTTCGGATTGGGCCTTAAACCCAGCGCGCCTATTCGTATTACTATAACATAGTTGATTTGTGATAGTATAGAAAGTGGAAAACATGTCGCGTAATTTATCTTACAAAGGAAGAAATGTTGCAAACGTTATTACATGCATCAACTGGCGAAGAAGGAATGTATTGAAAAAAATGAGGATGGAAGTGATCGTGAATTTTTAGTTCATATAATACTGATTGTCAGAAACTGATATAGATTTTGGAAGCGAGAGAGATAATGACATAAATTGCTTTATAGGAAAAAATATCGGAAACAATTAAAAAAAATTGCAGAGTCAGCCCAGCGAAAAAGCACACAAAACCGAAAACACGCTGCCCCAAATGTGAAAAATATTTATTTGGGGAACACATAAAATTTTGATCAAAGTGCTTTTATCAAAGTCATTTGTTGTTGCATTTTTTCTCGATGTCTATTGTGCTCTGCTAATATAGAACCGATACAGAGTAAAAAACAGAGCTAATAAAAAATCAACACACAGATACAGTATGTTCCCCCTGTGTTAATATATAATAGATTTTCTATACCTTTAAGAAATTTTATTTCATAAAAGCATTTAGAGAAATTAAAAATTTTAATGTAAATTTTTTTTAATTTAATTTAATTTAATTTATTTATTTATTTATTTTTTAATTTTTTTTTTTTTTTTTTTTTTTTTTTTTTTTTTTTTTTAGTTTGAACATAAAATTTATTATTGGCATAGCTGTAACACTTATTCTGAAGATTTGAATTTTTTTTTTTTTTTCAAAAAATACGAATCGGGTCTTTTGGACCCAGTGCGCGCGCTCGTG